GCTTCCTTTCAAAATAATGGGAGGAAGTGCAGATGGATCATTCATCTTTATATTCAGTCTATGGATCATACATCTTTATATACAGTCTATGGATCATACCTCTTTATATTCAGTCTATGGATCATACACATTCACCAACTATGTAAAATAAGATCATGTCATCTGCAGAAACTACAACGACCTCCCGTCACCAGGGGGCAGCAGCAGCAGCAGCGTCCTCGTCTCCAGGAACAGGAAGCTGTGTTGTTTATACGCGGCTGCGTCCTGTTGGTCTCAGCTTCTGTTTTGCGTCTGTTGCGGAGAAACTTGTGCGTTAAACTCCGCTTCCGTCGCTTCCTGGAGTCAAACTAACGTTGCGACACGTGTCGCGGAGGCCGAGGAGCCTCACGGAGAGACGCTGGCGCGGGAGTCCCGCTGTTAGCCCGCAGCGTTAGCCTGTAGCACTAGCCTGGAGCGATGACCGCGGACAGAGTTTTTCTTTCTGCGTATTTCGTCTGTTGACTCAAACCGGAGATCCGCCGTTCACCATGTCGAGTGAAAACACCGACGCGACGAGCCAGGAGGAGAACGGCCCCTCGTCCGACCCGAACGAGCACGACTATGCTCACTCCGTGGACAGTAGCTCTGCTGCCACCGAGGCGCCCTCCTTCTCCGGTGCGTCAGCGGGGGACGGCGGAGTCATTGCGCAGGAAAGCTTCACTGCGCCGGCTGAACAGGAGCAGAGCACCCCGGTGCAGCCCGCTGCCTCTCTGCCGGTGGAGATCCCCGAGCCGGTCGTGGGTGCGGAGGTGGACTGTCCCGTGGGGAATTATGTGGAAGCGACCTCTCTGCTGGCGCAGACCGCCCCCCTCGCCCCGCAGCGCGGCAGCCGCCGGCGGTGCGTCTTGCCGGAGGACAGTAACTGCTCCTGCTGCAAGTCTCTGTTCGAGAGACACGGCCGCAGCTTCAACCGCAGGGCGGTGCACACCTTCACCTCCCCGGAGACCGTGCACTGGGTCTTTCCGGACACCGTGGTGCAAGACAGGTCCTTCCTCTGCGAGACATGTGCGCAGGTCATCCGGAGCAAATGCAAACGCAAACAAGTCGGGAAGCGGCCAGTGTGGCTGAAACCACCGGACACCAAACAGGTAGATAGGTGTGTGTGTGTGTGTGTGATAAAGTTATCACAGCTGAAGGTGTTTCTGCCACATTTGCCTGAGATTGTTTATCCCTGAAATATATTTAATGACAATCTCATGACAAGAGTAATTCTCGATCCCAAGTTGCAGCTGTATTTCCTTTTCACGTAAATAGTCCAAAGTTATATCTTTTTGCTTGATGCAACATACGTGTCGATATGTCCACAAATACAAAATACCTGAAACAGCATCATGTCCTTGGCGTTGCTTTGGTGACAGCAGTCAGACGGCAGAGACAAGAAGAAGAAAGGCCGGAGGATGGGGAAGAAGAGCAAAGCGGCCCAGCTGGTGAGCAAGTCCTGCTACAAGGCTGCTTTCAAAATGCTCTGGTCTGCTAAAGGCGCCCGGAAGCCCATGATGGACTTCTGGTGTAAACAGCTGAAAGAGGAGGTGAGGATGGACACTCCTCTCAGTCAGGATAAATAGCTTGAGTCTTCATAACAAGCACGTTCTTAATTTGTTGTTTGTTTCCTGTTGCGGTGCAGATGAAGCTACTGTCGCGGCAAACAGGTAGCCCCTTTCATCACAAGGTGTCGAGCAGGAAGCCGCTGTCTTCCTTCCCCTGGCGACGATGTCTGAACTGGGCCCAGGAGAAAGCTCCACTTGTCACCACCTGCCTCCGCGCGCTGTTCCCTGACATCAACGCCCTCGCCAAGAGCAGCCAGTAAGTTACGTGTTTGAGCTTTAAATAAAGAATTCTACTGAAGGCTCGTTACCTTTTTATGCTATCTGCTTCATCGTGGGCCTGCGTATCTAAATCTGAGCAGACGTGGGTTGGTGGTCTGATGAGCATCTGTTTTTCTTTTGTGCGGTAGCCTTCTGTCGGAGGAGCAGGCACAGACACTTCTGGAGCGTCGTGCTGTGGTGGCGCTCTCCATCCCACTTTTCACTCGGAACATCTGGAAGAACAACTTCCTGCAGGCTGCTCTGGGGGCGGAGCTCCGTCTACAGGGCTGCTCTGGCGCAGCTCTCGATGCCCTCAACACCATGGGACTGTGTCAAAACAAGGACACCGTCAGGTTACTGCTGCACAGGCTCCGAAACGGCAAGAAGACAGTGAGTATCATGATCAGCAGTGCTGGTAGTTCAAAGCTCGTGAATAACATCAGCGGTCACCGGAAATTCTCGTACATGACTAGCTGGTGAACACGGTGCTGCAGAAACCTAGATATTATTTATCAGCAGTTGAAAGAGACAAAAACAAAGTTAAAAGAGACGTTGATCCAACATTTATCAGTAAAACTCAGACTTGAATGATCATTTTGTTCTGTAATCTGTTTAAATGTGTCAATACCTTTCTAGGAACTTATTCTAGGTCTTATTTCTGAAGTGTGTTTGTGTCTTTGTCAGTCAACACAAAATGGACGACAAAGGACGAGGTTGATGCAAGAACAGATTAAAGGAGAACAGATGTCAGATGTGGAGGAAGACGATATCGAAGAGGAAGAGGAGGATGAAGAAGTGGAAGAGGAGGATGATGATGATGAGGAGGAGGAGGAAGAGGAAGAAGAAGTGGAAGAGGAGGCTGAACTACAGTTGGCAGTCGAGGAGGAAGAGGTGCAGGATGGAGTGCCACAGGAAGAGGAGGAGGAGGAGGAGGAGGATGAGGAGGAGGATCAAGCAGCAGAGGAAAAAGAGGAGAAGAAGAGGAGGAGGAGAAAGAAGGCAAAGAAGCAGAGGAAGGAAGAGAAAAGGAAGGAGAGAGGCAAACGAAAGGCAAAACAGAGAGAGGAGGAGGAGGATGAGGAGGAGGAAGAGGATGAAGATGAAGGGTCGGAGCAGAAGAAGAGGAGGGTGGTGGTAGTGAGGCTCGGCCTGCTGAAGGGACATTCGGAGGTTGGACGATCTGACCTATCAGCTCCCTAAGACTTTGTAGGCCCCACCCATGAACTCAAAATACCCCACCCACAACCAGAGAGCCGGAGAGGCTCCGCCCTCAGCTCATTAAAGCGCTTCTTCTTTATTTCATCGTTAAATCGACAATATTACAAAACATCTTCATCCTCCAAAACAAGATTCAGCGTCTGGACTGAGTCTGAACTTACAACCATCAACCAAGGACACATTATAACAATAACATGAGTTTGGTTTGAATACATTTTAGTTTTTAACATTTTGTTTGTATTTGTAAATTTAGCCAAAAAATGATCTGATATCCTGTTTTTCCTAAGAGCAGTATTTTTATTTTCAGAAATGTCCGGGTTGTTTTTTTCTTTTTTACTAAAGAGTTTGATTTAAAGCCTCTGGTGGGGGAACATGGGTCCACTGGAACAGTAAATGTAAAAAGTATATGGGGGGTTTATCGCCCGTGGCTTATCGTCATGGAGACTGAATACACCTTGAGTAAAGCCACCAGCCACTGATGAATCTGTAAATGTTCAAATATCTGGCTGGTATTTTCAGAAGTGATCTTCCAGATGTTTCTCCAGCTGCTGGATGATTTAAGTTATGGGGAAGTTTTTTTTTATTATCGATGAGAGCAGCTCTCAGTTCAGATTTCGACTCTGATGTGACATGAAGTTAAACTCACAAGAGCAGAAACAGTTTTTTGGGATTCTGAACACTGGAAGCCTCAGAATGTTTGTGGTCACAGTCTGAAGTTGTTTCTTTCTTTTCATTGTTTCTGAGCTGAGTCGATGCACAGACGAGTTAAACACCTGGGATTTATACTTTTATTTTTTTAATTTACTGTTTGTGAACTGAACAGAATCAAAGCTTCAGAACCAGTTTGAATCAGACTGTAATTAAAGATGGACGACATGTCAGCTACCCACAAGTGAAGCGTCTGGATCGACTTCAGTACAGGTCATAAACCTGCCTCCACCACGTTAGCGGATGGGACACGGATCAAACTAACAAGTCAATGTACACGTTGAATAAAATTTTCTGAAATATAGTTTGTGTCATTTCAGGTAGTTTATCACACCGAGGTTTTAAGTGTTCATGTTTCTGATAAGTTTGTTTTTTTAATTTATTTGATGCCATAAAAAAACTGGGTGAAATGAAAGAATTGTCTGGAGGCGTTCAAAAGGGTTTTTGTGAGGTCACAGTGACCTCGACATTGAACTCGCAAATTCTAATCAGGTCATCGTTGAGTCCAAGTGAATGTTTGTGACAGATGTGACGGAATCCTGTGTTTGTCTTTGACCTCCAACATTTTGTCAGTTCACGTCTGCACAAGGTGTGCTTGAGAAAGTGTGTTCACAAAGACAAGCTGAAAACATGCCTTTGGCTGCTGACTGTTGCCGGCACGGGGGAATAAAGAACACATTTTCCAAGACATCTCCAGAAAACATTGGTGGAAAGCCGAGGAACATCCTGACCAGATCACCAGTGAATCACAGGGTTGACAGTTAGAGACAAATCTACTCTCAGATTCACACCTACAGTTATCAACCTAACCCCAGTCTGCTTGTGTTCAGACTGGGAGGAACCAGTGCACAAATTATGAAGTGACAGACTGAGGCATCGTGAAGGACAAAGGTTTTTATTTCTGTAACAGAGTCGTTTACAGCAACAAAAACATCCACAGAGCTGCTGCAGCTACAATAAATAATCCTGACCACGCTCCCCCTCCAGTGCTCTGCTGGGTCATTCTTCTTCACTGCTGCTTTCAAAGAGAGTCGAGTGCCAGTATAATGAAGTTAGCAGACTACGTGTTCTGGTGGTTAGAAACATACAAGTGTGTATTCACAACAAAACAACCGAGAGCACAAACTGAGTTTTAATCAGCCTGAAGATTTGAGAGCTTGCAGGAATAAAACTCAATCGGAAATCTGCTGCTTCACCAAATGTTTTGTGATCGAATCATTTCATTGACTCTCAAGTTTGGGGATTGACAGGTTTCAGTGTCAAGTAAAGAACTTGGCCTAAATGAGATGAGGACTTAAGTTCACACTCAACTCTTTCAGTCAGCATTGAACACGTTAACTTTAATCTAAGTCCCTCTGGAGGGCCGAGGAAATTACGTCCACACATTTATTCTGACCCTGCCAGCTCTCAGACCTGAACACGGATCAAATCCTCACCTTTTTTTATGCTCACTCAGCGATTTGTCGTCACCGAATGTCACAGAAATACAGGTTTAAAATCTACAGGATAAAGCTACTTTTATTTTGAAGAGGGAGAAATGGAAAGAGCAACCAGAGCCACACGCAGAGTTCAGTTGAGTCTATAATTGAGTAACAGAAGTGATGACTTGACCGAACTGTGTGTCAGCAGCTCTGGGTTCAGGTTGAACCGCTGTGCGTTTCATCGATCAACATCTGTCTGGAAACTAAACAGTCGGGAGAAGTTTTTAAAGAAAGCGTTTGACTGTATTTACACAAGGTTTTAATATTTGACCAATGTCTGTGTGAGCAAGACAAAGAGGATTCTGGTAGGGTTTTCCTCTGTGTGTGTGTGTGTGTGTGTGTGTGTGTGTGTGTGTGTGTGTGTGTGTCTCAGATGTTGAGGGTCTTTTTCACAGAGACGATGATGTCTTTGATCTGCGGCAGACTGTTGTCCTCTAGGATTTTGGCGTAGGGCATCGGGATGTCGACTCCCGTCACTCTGGTGACTGGAGCGTCAAGGTAGTTGAAAGCTGGACCTGCAAACATGCACAGGGGGTTAGAAGACAAAATACAGGTTCCCAGTGTTAAATCTGCAGGCGTACACAAAGGTGGG